CAATCAAAGCAGCGGTGAATTTGGGTAAAGGTGTCGACAGGCAGGTCAAATCACAGCACGTGGAAGGGCATTTTAATTCAAAAGCTACATTAGACAGACAGCTGGACATAGGGCACTTTAATTCAAAAATATCGGGCCCTCTACCCAGTCTCATTAATTCACGGGCCAAGCAAGGGAATTTTATAATTAGGCCCAATGAAGCCATCAGCTCAGACATTAGTCGAGTACCAGGGAAGTTGGGCCAAAATATAAACTTTTATTCAAAAGGCCCACACAAAAAGGCCCATTTTAAGTCAAAGACAAATAAACCCATTAGCTCCCAGTCTTGGCGTGCCATCAGAATTTTACCACACCCTCGTCTTCTTCGCAGTAACGATGTGCCTCTCTCATCTGGTGATCTTCAGCAGACCCATGTCAACCATGTCATTACGAAATCAACTACGCAGGTCTCAACAGCTATCCCCCTCTCAGAAGCCGATGATGATGCCGATGACGAAGCTGAAACTTTCATCAACAATCTCAGAGGTCTTTCACAGAGGTTGAATTGGTCAGAATATGCTTCTACTGCTCTGGTATGTTCTGACACTGATTCTCACAGTGAATCTCTTCCCCTCTCTTGGCATGACGGTGAGGCATTGGAGCTACAAGAAATTCATCAAGTAATTCAGCAACCCACAACAATAGAGACTTCTAAATGGACAAAACTAGTTATGGGAAAGGCATGCAAGGCTTTTGGGATCAATATAGCCGGCTTTGAACATGAAATTCTAGACTTAATTCTAAGAATGGACCAGAAGAGACAGGTTCAATTACAAAAAATGGGATCTCCTTCTACTTCCAATAAGAAAGGAAAGGGGAGAAAGAAAGGGGAAACTGAAGTTCAGAATCTAATTTGCGGCATCAACTATGATGGGAGGAAGAAAAGTGATAGGGACCGGCATTGCAAGATACTGTCCAGATGAAGGTCAAAATTCTCAGTTGGAACATTCGGGGGCTAAATGATAAGAATAAAAGAAGCACTCTAGCTTCACTAGTCAGAAGGTGGAAAGCTGATATCTTATGTCTACAAGAAACCAAAATGGATGCATACCATCAAGTATGATTTTTCAGATATGGGGGAATAGGTGGACTGATTTGGTAGAGTTAGGGGCAAACCGCAAGAGTTGAGGTATTATTATCTTATGGGACAAGAGATTGTGAAGGTCTATTGACTCTCACCAAGGTTGTTTTTCAATTACATGCATCCTTGAGAGTCTGCAAGAGGATTTCAGGTGGGGTTTTACAGGAGTTTACGGCCCACACAACAACACGGACAGGAATGACTTCTGGCAAGAGTTGGGAGCAATAAGGGGTATCTGGAATGATCAATGGGTTATAAAAGGGGATTTCAATGTGTGCAGATTTGAGGCTGAGAGATACAGTTGCAACAGAAGAACCAAAGCTATGAGAAACTTCTCTGAAATAATCTCGGATCTTTAACTAATCGACCTACCTTTACACGGGGCACAATACACATGGTCAAAGGGGGAAAACAATTTACAGGCCTCAAGAATTGATAGGTTCCTTATCTCTACAGAAAGGAATGAGAGCTTTAAGTCTATCAAACAGTTGGCAATGCCAAGACCTATTTCAGATCACAAGCCTCTAATGTTAGAAAGTGGTGACTGGTCTTCAGCTCCATCCTACTTCAAGTTTGAAAATATGTGGCTACAGCAAGAGGGGTTTATGGACATGGTGAAGGAGTGGTGGCAAGGTTATGTGATTAGTGGCAGCCCGGATTTTATACTTGTTCAGAAGCTGAGGTTTAAACCTGAAGAAAGACATCTCCAAATAGAACAAGGAAGTCTATGGAAAGCTAGAGACAAGAAGCAGAGTTCTAGAGGAGCTTTTAGCTTTAGAACAGGTAATAGAGAACAAAACTCCTACTCAGCCTGAAAAACAAAGTTTTCTTAATATGAAATTGGAGCTAATGGAAATTGCTAAAGCTGAAGAAACTTCATGGAGACAAAAATCAAGATGTCTATGGCTAAAAGAAGGGGACAGGAATACAAGATACTTCCAAACAATGGCCAACTCTCACAGAAGATACAACTCAATTGACAAGCTCAAAATTGATAATGAGATCACAGAAGACAAGGAAATGATCAATGAGGAGATCTTGAATTACTACCAGAATCTCTACAAAGAAAGTGAAGAGTGGAGGCCTACTGCCAGCTTTGAGGAAGTAGCCAGACTCATAGAGGCAGACAGGGAGTTGCTAGAAAAAGGGTTTGAAAGATGAAGTGCTTAGTGTCATTCAATCATGTGCTCCTGATAAGGCCCCAGTGCCAAATGGTTTTACCATGGCATTCTTCCAAAAATCTTGGGGTTTCATTAAGGCAGAGGTCATGGGGGCCCTCAACTACTTCCACCAGCATTGCTACATGGTAAGGTCTTGCAATGCACCTTTCATTGCTTTAGTACCTAAAAAGAAAGGTGTTGTTGAACTCAGGGATTTCAGGCCAATTAGCCTTATTGGAAGTGTTTACTAGATAGTTGCCAAGGTTCTAGCAGAGAGATTGAAGTTGGTTGTTGGGAAGCTAGTCTCTAGCTATCAAAATGCCTTCATCAAACAAAGGCAGATAACTGATGCAGCTCTCATAGCTAATGAGATTTTGGATTGGAGGATTAATACTGGAGAACCTGGAGTTATGTGCAAGCTGGATATAGAGAAGGCTTTTGATAAATTGAATTAGTCATACCTAATATCTATCTTGAGGAAGATGGGCTTTGGTGAAAAGTGGTTAAAATGGATAAGGTATTGCATCTCTACGGTTAAATATTCAATTTTAATTAACAGATCCCCTGTGGGTTTCTTCTCCCCTCAAAAAGGGATCAGACAAGGTGATCCACTCTCCCCTTTTTGTTCATATTAGTCATGGAAGGTCTAAGTAAGATGTTGGAAAAGGCCAGACAAATGCAGTGGATTCAAGGCTTCAGAGTTGACACCAATGCTGGGAATACAATTACTATATCTCATTTACTGTATGCTCATGATACTCTGATTTTTTGTGAGGCAGAAAAAGCACAGCTCCTATACCTGAATCTCACCCTCCTACGCTTTGAAGCCTTGTCAGGATTACATATCAACAAGCTGAAAAGCACTATCTATCTAGTCAACAATGTGAACAACATAGTAGAATTGGCAGGAACGATGGGTTGCAGCATTGGGGCACTTCCTTCCACCTACCTGGGCCTCCCATTGGGAGCCAAATTCAAGAATTGTGAAATTTGGAATGGTGTTGTAGAAAAATTTGAAAAGGGGTTGGCCACTTGGCAAATGCAATATTTATCTATGGGAGGTAGATTAACTCTTATCAGCAGTGTGCTTGACAGCATACCTACCTATTATATGTCTTTGTTCCCTATCCCTAAAAAGGTGTTAAAGCAATTGGATAAAATCAGAAGAGATTTCCTTTGGGGAGGGAATAACAGCTCTCACAAATTTCATTTGATAAAATGGGATAAAGTCATACAGCCGAAAAGCAATGGAGGACTGGGGGTCAAAGATTTAGCAATCCACAACAAAAGTATGCTGATGAAGTGGCTATGGAGGTATGGTACAGGTGAGCCTAAGTCTCTGGAAGAAAGTGATTGATGCAAAACATGAGAAAAGAGACAACTGGAGCACTAAAATTGCAAATGCCCCTTATGGTGTTGGTCCCTGGAAGTTTATTAGCAAATTGAACAATGATTTTTTCCAGAAGATCCACTTCAAACCGGGTAATGGAGAGCACATCAGATTTTGGAAGGACATTTGGTTGAATAACACAGCCCTCATGGATGATTATCCTAACATTTTCCAAATTGCCATGGACAAGAACTCCTCAATTGCTCAGAACAGGAGCAACAACAACTGGGATGTGCATCTGAGAATGTCTGGTCAAGATTGGGAAATGGAAAGTTTGATGGAAATGCTAGCAAGAGTGGAAAGCTACAACATTGATGAAGATCTTTCAGACACTATGTGTTGGGGCAGCAAGGGTATCTTCATAGTCAAAGAGTGTGTTACAAGCAAAACTGCACTCAAAATCAGGTGCTTGATGCCTGGCCATGGAAATTGATATGGAGGACCAAATTACCTATTAAGGTTATATGCTTCAATTGGATTGCATTATATGAAGCTTGTCTAACACAAGACAACCTTAACAGGAGAGGATTCCAGCTGGTCAACAGATGCTACCTTTGTAGGAGGAATCAGGAAACTGTCAGTCATTTGTTCCTGCACTGCCCAGTTGCCACTGATATATGGAATATGTTCTACAGTATTTTTGGTCTGAGCTGGGTTATGCCTCAAAATATGAGACATGCACACATTAGTTGGAGTTTGGGGAAAGTTGATAAGGCCATCAAGAAAATCTGGTTGATGATTCCTGCAGCTATTTTTTGGTGTTTATGGACAGAGAGAAATAGAAGATGTTTTGATGGCATCTCAACTTCAAATCACTCTCTCAAAGGCAAAATGCCTATTTGAACTTTTTTGCTGGACAAAATTGTCCCCTGTAATTAGTACTAGTAATTTTTTGGACTTTGTTAGTACTCTTGTCCTAGATTGACACTTTGTATAGGGCCTAGCTTCTCCTTTTTGTTTTTGCCTTTGTAACTAGGCCTCCTGTAACTATGTAACTATGCATCTTCTTGATGCTTTTTTAATGGAACACCTAAAAAAAAAAAATTGGTCCCTCTCAACTTTCTTCACCGTAGACATGGTATCCATATACTGTAAGATATGAAAAAGATTCACGGATGAGGTACATCAGAGATGTAGACAAACAATCCTTAAGACTTGATCAAATTGCATCTCTAAGCAATCCAAATAAGAGCTTTGAGTTATAAAATGTTGGTAAAAAGTGACACTTTTATTTATGTATATTAGGTCTGCAATGGGTCACTTCTCACGGCATACTAACGCTTTACAAATGCAGGCAGGAATGCAAGCATGATATATGAAAAATGCTTACTTGGGATCTCCGAGCCTCAAATTGAGGTTTAATTAGAGTAACTAAAGTAGCTTCTTCCTTCATCAAATTGATAACTGCAGGCATAACCTGGATTGGGGGAATGAACATGTGAGTATTACTAGGTATTGACAAAGACCATCTACCATCTACAGATGTGGAACAGCCTAATTTTATATGCTAAACTGTTAACTTAGGAAGCTACATTAAAGAAATTACATTGGAAGCATTTTCGGATGAGAAAGCTTACCAAAAGTATCGAAATAAAGGAGAGGTCCAAAGTTACTAAATCAACCTTCTGTGGGAGTTCAGAAAGGTATCTCAAGTTTGTACGCTCAATAACACTTACACGCTCATCTCGCCGAATTTTATCTGCCACCTATAAAAAATCAGCAAGTCTTTACAAATTTAAACAACCAAATAGTCAGCCAATGTGAAATCGATCCAGGACCACTTGGCAACTAATTAAACTCAAAGAAGTGAAAGATGTTTTCGAGCTGCCAAAACAAGGACAATTTCATAATTCAGGATTTAGTGAACTGTTGAACTTAAATTCAGAGCATTCTGAAAGATTTTTAATTAATTGTACATTCTACTGGTTTCAAATTTAAAGCTCTAGAATTTTCTTTATGGGCAGTCATTGCCACTAGTATACTTTCCAAAAAGAGAAAAGAAAGCTGTTTCATAGATACCTTATTCCACCTGCTTAGCTTATTTTATGCTAGAAGTAGTTTCAGGTTACCATTTCCAGCTACAGGGCTCAGCTTTGTGTAGAAAGATACTTCCAATAACAATGTACATTTTTGCAATTTGATTTTATAATAAGAGGTTACATGGATTTTTCATGTTTTTCCCCTCCTTTTCCAACTTGCACAGTGAACTTAAATTTGGCAATGCATTTGCACACAATGTTCTTTTAGTCTTCTATCTTTTGACAAATAAAACACTGCTTGCTAAAGCTGCTCCAACAAGCTTTGGCACTGTGTTATATTCAGCATCTTATCCATTTGGTCTCTAAGACATCTCAAATTTGATGAGCCAGTCAGTACCTTAACTTGCATTCTTGATTAGAGTATATACCAGTAAAAGAAAATTTAAAACAATAGAAGCTCTGTGAGCATCAGCTTTTAATTCTGATGATGTTACCTGTCCATATCCTACATCAACTCCATAGACAAATGAAGCACCATACTGAAGTAAACAATCAGTAAATCCTCCAGTAGACAAGCCTGAATCAAGAGCTACTTTCCCTGCAACATCAATGCCCAGGTTTTCAATAGCAGCCTCCAATTTGTGTCCTCCTCTGAGTAAACATCAACAAGCAAGTCAATTAGCTGGAGGGATCTCAGCAAAATACGATGTCAAAAACTAAAATATAGGCTCAGAGGAGGAATATTCACCTGCAGACATATTTGGGAACTTCAGCAATGATCTCCACGACAGCTTTATCGGAGATTTGACTCCCTGCTTTATTAACAACTTTTCCGTCCACAAGCACTTTGCCTAAGCTAGAAGATTGTCAGGAGTTACGGAGATGGAGACAGAGAGACAAAAGCAAATCAACCTCTAGTTAGGATATATCAACTTGACAGCAAAGTGGAAGCAAAGAAATTACAATAAGTTGTCACCCCGACAAGAAGAGAACGAATTCGAAAACACCATAAGATGATTTGGATGAAGTTTATGATTGGAGATAAACTAGCCTGAATAGGAGTTTTACATTGTCAGGTTGAGATACCTCATAAGACAAAAAATTGAGAGAAACTATCATTAAAGAGTGTCTGAAAAGAAATAGAGACATTTTCTTCAGGAAGACCAATTAACATACACGTACAACTATTGACATCTGAAATACCACAATTTAGCATTGATCAGAAATCTGTTATAGAATTACATTTCCTGAAAAATTGCGTCTAGAAACGTTCAGTGTCTACTCTACTAGTGTGATTTATGATAGCTAAAGTATTGTTATATAGACTCTACTCAAGCAATGGTATTCTACCTTGTAACTGTACCATAAAGAATAAATTTCTAACCCTAAATAGCTCAAACCAAATTATAAGAACAGAGACAGGAAATCTCTTTACTCTGTAATGAGCTAAGCGAAAATCAGGTTTGATTACAGAAGCTCAAGGTCACTGAGCAATCCAGAAGTTCTATTATAATATCAAAAAGAAGTGTCAAATAGGCTTGATGAATAACAACTACCTTGTAGAATCCATGACTGTATAAATGTCCGGCTGTATTGCTGAAATCTCTCAAGACACAGTTCATCCAGTCTCCTTTTCCTAATGAAACCAGACAAACACTTAGCCAAATATGATGGTAGGAAAAAGACCGAAAGTTATCAACAAAATAACATACACAGAGAGCTTAGACCTTTGTTTGAGGAAATAGCTAAAAGAGTACCAGTCCTGAGCAGAAGTAAGGACAAACATTTTTCAGAGCCCAAAAGGAAGAAGAAAAAAACTCTGTTGATGATGCCATCACCTAGTAGTTATTAAAACCAAGAGGCATGTATGTGGGTAGAGCATATTTAGTTAACATCTAATGTTTCAAATTTTGCTAGTACTGCCTTTAATATTGCAGTTGGGCAGAGCATATTTAGTTAACATCTAATGTTTTAAAATTTTGCTAGTACTGCTTTTAATATTGCAGTTGGTTCATAGCATGTTATAGTATTCATTAGTTTGTTACCTCAGTAAGAACTATTGCATTTTGCTTATATTTCGTGCCCATCTATAAGGAATAAAAGAATGACCTTTTCACAAAAACATGTACTTTGGACTCAACAATTCAGTGGTATGCTATTTTTAGGATAATACCAAAAATATGCAAAATCGCATATGTGAAATGAAACCTGAGTAATATTACAAAAAAATGCTAAAAGCTCAAAATTGATGGACACCATTAGGCGAAACACCAACATAACATTGTTAATTGCATCTTTGACCAAAATGTGCGCTCTTCTAAACATAAATAGTGCGCAACTTAGAACTCTATCTATATGGTTAGAGTTATATGGATACAAGAATCCTCCTCGATCACTCATGCTTAAATACGTGTTTGTGCACATATTTACTATGCAAATCTCATTCGTCAAATGTGAGTTAAGTACATAGAACTCTATCTATCACGAGATTGCTTTCGTACACGGGAACACATCAAAGCAAATTTAGAAAATGTGTAATAAGAAAATACATACTATAAAGGCGACTAAAGTACAATAGTGCTTTGTAAAGCGCCTAAGAATTCCTACAATTGAATAATTCTCTGCCAAACTTGTTAGGGAATCTACACATAAAAATTGAAGAAAACACAAATGCATCTGGCGAATTTTAACTTGAGGTTAATAAAACATATTATCTCATGTGATTTATCTTTAAGGCCACCCTCCAGACATCAGTTATTTTAGTTGGTATATAAGCACATGTTTTTTGCTTGTTTTTTGTACTTTTTTTAAAAATCTGCCAACTCTTGGAATAGTGTTCAAAAGAAAGCACATTTTGGTAAAAGATTGAAGAAGAATAAATTAATACGAAACCAGAAACAAGTGAGAAATATTACTTTTTCTTTGGTTGACCCTTCTCCGTGGTCAGTGAAGCAAAGGTTCTTACAGAAGGATGATTGCGGGCTTTGAACTCGACCCATCTCGCTGATCAATAAAAATACAGAATTTTATCATCAAAATCTTATGTCGTATAAACCCACCAAGAAAAAGCAAAAATATAAGCTCAATACAAAAAACGGATATGAATTTAAGCCCCACGTAGCAGCTGGACTTGAAGCGTCGAAAAATGCAATATTTTGAAAACCAATTTCAACAGAGACTTGGGTTGTAACGTAAAACAAGTGAAGAAATGAGTTCAATTTAAAAGTACCAGAAAGCTTTGGAGTTCTGTATGATAATTTGCAGGAGAAAAAGAAGCTATTGCTGGAGCTGCAAGAACAGTAACAGCGTGATATGATGATGGGTAGCTTCAGTATTTGAAGCGCCATTTTCTCTGACCTCTGCAAGGAAGAGGAGATTAGGAGACGGAGATTTTGCAAGGACTGGCTTTTTGGGTTTAGCGCCCACTGGATAGCAGTTCCATGTAGAAATGGCGTGGGCCACTTTGTAAGGGGAAGTGGACAGCAGTAATAAAAGGGAGAAATTCAAAAATGCAATATGTAAAAATAGTCAACTATAATATACTGGAGTTCTAGCATAATATATTGGAATTTAGAGCACCGGTGCTCTAGTCTCCAGTATATTATACTAGAGACAGCACAGTATATTATACTAGAGATAGCAAAATATACTGGTCCAACATAATATGTTGGAAGTTCATATACAGGTGCACCGAACTCCAGTATATTATGCTGGACCGATCTCATTTGCAGCAAAATAGTAGTTATTTTTCATTGACTTGGTAAACGCTGACTATTTTTGAATGACCAGTCCGAAAACTGGCTAGACCGTGCTATTTTAACGTAATAAAATATGTATTTACTTTTAAGTCATTGTTTAAAATGTCTTGTCTTTAGTCATTGCTTTAATAAATTTCCCACTCGGACGAAAATACTCTTCTGCTCATAAAGTTCAGGACCAAGTGTCTTTAACTTATGAGCTTGTTACCGTAAGTTCAGGACTAGTTATGCTTAATTTATAAGTTTAAGTTTAGGACTACCTGTCCTTAACTTTTGAACTTGTAACTCTAAGTTCAGGTCGACTTGTCCTTGACTTTTGAACTTGGAACTCGAAGTTCAGGACTACCTGTCCTTAATTTTTGTGCTTGTAACTCTAAGTTAAGGACTACCTGTCCTTAATTTCTGTGCTTGTAACTCTAAGTTAAGGACCAAGTGTCCTTAATTTTTGAACTTCTAACTCTAAGTTCAGGACCAAGCGTCCTTAACTTATGAGCTTGTTACTGTAAGTTCAGAATTAAATGTCCTTAATTTATGAGCTTGTAAGTCTAAGTTAAGGACTACCTATCCTTAACTATTCCGATAACCAAGGACACAATCTCTTTCATTTATTTATTTTCTCATCCTGAAAAAGAATCTTATAGAAGTACTTGCCCTAAATAAAAGCGATTGTTAATAAACATTTGTGTCAAGCTTAAGAAAAAGATAAAAGAATCATATTGAGTATAGACCAGTCTGGAACATAAATCATTTTAACATTAGAACTTCCAACTGAATCCACTTGAGAATGAGAAGAAATGCAGTCGCCGATATAAACACTGCATTTCCGTTTGGGAAGGAAAAGAGATAGAAGAAAGGGTAACACCGTCTTTTCATATTAATTTTAATAGACTAGTGGCTACTTTTTCTCAGCATTAAAAATGCTGGATAAAAAGTAAATACCACTTTAACAAGTGGTTACCCCGTAATTTTTACATTTTATAATATGGTATTTAGTTTTTATCTAGTAATTTTAATGCTTAGCAAAAATAACCACTACTCTATTAAAATTAATACGAAAAGAAACTGTGTAAATATTAAGAATATGGTATCCTTAACATTTACACTACACACATGAAGTTAAGGATGTCATGTCCTTAACATTTATACTGCACATAAAGTCCTAAAGTTTAACAACAGAAGGTGCAAATACAGGACACTTTGTCCTTAATATTTACACAGCATTCATGAAGTTGATGTAACGGTCCGACTGATCGTTTTGAGAATTAACACCCCGATCCCCTATTAACTGATTTTCCTATGTTTGTTTCTGCTATTCTGATTTGCTGGGAAGATTCGTTTTGAGTTTCGGAGTGTTTTGGGACATTTAGTCCCTAAATGAGAGCTTAAACTTTAGAATTTGGACCATAGCTGAAACGGTATGAACACAGCCTTGGAATGGAATTCCTCAATTACGTTAGCTCTATTGGGTGATTTTGGGCTTAGAGGCGTGTTTCAATTGGGTTTTGGAGGTCCGTAGCTTATTTACGCTTGAAATGCCGAAAGTTGAATTTTGAAGTTTCCGTATCGATAGTGAGATTTTGATATCGGGGTCGGAATTTGATTCCGAAAGTTAGAATAGTTTTGTAGTATTGAACGTGACTTATGTGCAAAATTTGAAGTCAATTGGACATGGTTTGGTTGGCTTCGGCATCGGTTGTAGAATTCTTGAGATTTCAAGTTCATTAGGCTGGATTGGAGGGTGATTCGTGGTTTTAGCGTTGTTTGATGTGATTTGAGGGTTCGGCTGAGCCTGTATGATGTTTTAGGATTGGTTGGTATATTTGGTTGAGGTCTCGGGAGCCTCGGGTGAGTTTCAGATGCTTAACGGAATTGGATTTGGACTTAGGCAATTTTCTGAACTTGCTGAACTTGTTGGTTTCGCACCTGCAGAGCTTGGACCGCAGGTGCGGCGCTGCAGAAGCAGGTTGGAAACTGCAAATGCGGTCTAAGGCATAAGGACAGTTGGTCGCAGATGCAACTCAAGGACCGCAGAAGCGGAACCGCATCTGCGAGGTAAGGAGCGCAGGTGCGGAATCTGGTCCTTTAATGAAATTCCACAGGTGCGGAGTATGAGCCGCAGGAGCGGGACCACATGTGCGATTATTCCCTCACAGAAGCTTAAATCGCTGGGCAGAAAAGAGAGAAATTGAGGGTTTGAATTCATAACTTCTAAAATCAATTTTGAGCTCGGGAGAAGGCGATTTCTTGAGAGATTTTGAAGGAAAACTATTGGGTAACGATTTCTATCACTAATTTAGTTCTACAACATTAATCTATTGTTATTTTCCTCATTTAATCTAAGATTTGAGTGAAAGAATGGGGATTTGGGGGAAAAGTTCCCCAACCAAGTTTTTGGATTTTGATTGGGTTTTAGTTGTCGGAATTGAGTGATTTTTGGACGAGTGGTCTCGTGAGTGAATGGACGTTCATAATCCATAATTTTACCCGATTCTGAGTCGTGGTCCCGGGGAGGATTTTTGGGCATTTTTCTTATTTCTCATCGTAGCTTCAAATTCATTAGTTAAATTAGTTTCTTATAGTTTTATTTATGTTATGTAATTGATTTGATTAGATTTGGGCCACTCGGAGTTGGATACTCGTGGCAAGAGCGTGATATCAGATTGATTTTTAAGCTGGTTCGATGTAAGTGGCTTGTCTAACCTTATGGGGGGAACTCTCCTTAGGATTTTGGTATTGTTGTTATATTAATGTTGTGTATGCGAGGTGACGAGTACGTACATGTATTAATTGTTGAAAACCCCCATTTTTATTAAGCAAATATCTACGTTTTCTTTTAACTGAGCAACACTAGTATATGAAGCCTCCTGTTTAGCTTAGGAAAGCATGCTTACGTGACTTAACTGTCTTACCTGCTTTAACTGCTTACTTGGATTTTGTGTAGCATGTTTAGAGTAGAAATTTCCCGTTTTCCTGATACGAACTTGAATAGAATTGTAAGATTCTTTCTTGAGACTGTTGTGTATTTACTTTGGGAAAATGGATAGGTATTCTGGGAGATCCCCCTGCATATTTACTTTGGGACTACGGATTAGTATTTCAGGAGATCCCCTGCACATTTATAATTGGGACTACGGGACGATATCCCGGGAGATCCCCCTGTTCTGGGTAATTACTTTGGGACTACGGATTGATATTCCGAGAGATTTTCCTACATATTTGTGACGATCCGGCCAGTCGTCTTAAGAATTTACTCCTCGATCCCCCATTAACTGCTTTCCCCAAGTTTATTTCTGCTATTTTGATTTGTCGGGATGTTCGGTTTTGAGTTTCGGAGAGTTTTGGGACACTTAGTCCCTAAATGAGAGCTTAAGTGTTGAAAAGTTGGTCGTAGTCGGAACAGTATGAAGACGGCCTCGGAATAGAAATCTGATGGTTCTGTTAGCTCCGTTGGGTGATTTCGGGCATAAGGGCGTGTTCGGATTGTGTTTTAGAGGTCCGTAGCTAATTTAGGCTTGAAATGCCGAAAGTTGAATTTTTGAAGTTTCCGATTAGATAGTGAGATTTTGATCTGAGGGTCGGAATGGAATTACGGAAGTTAGATTAGCTCCGTAGTGTTTAATGTGATGTGTGTGCAAAATTTCAGGTCATTCGGATGAGGTTTGATAGACTTTTGATCGAAAGCGTATTTTTTAGAGTTTTTAGGATTCTTAGGCTTGAATCCGATGAAAAGTAGGTGTTTGGTTGTTGTTTTGAGCGTTCTGAAGGTTGGAACAAGTTTAAATAATGTTTTAGGATCGGTTGGCAGGTTTGGTTGAGGTCCTGGGGACCTCGGGTGTGTTTCGGATGCTCAACTGGTCATTTTTGGACTTAGAGGATTGCAGAAAATATAGCAGGTCTCCAGTTCTGGTTTCCTTCTTCGCATTCTCTAGTGGGGTCTCGTGTTCGCGAAGAGAAGCTGGGACTGGTGGAAACTTAACGCTTCGCATGGTCGTATGTCTACGCGTTCGCGAAGAGGGTCCCGCATTTTCCCGACAGGGGGCATCGTGTTCGCGATAAAGGAAATCTGGGCCAAGCGAAGTTGTGCTTCGCGAACGCGAGGGTCCTTCCGCGTTCGCAAAGAAGGATTTACCTGGGCAGATATAAAATTTCAAAGTCGAGGGTTTAGCCATTTTTATCAAAACTAGAGTTTGGGAGCTCACATTTGAGCGAGATTTTGAGGGATTTTCAGAGATATCGATTGGGTAATGATTCTTAACTCTTTTTTGCTTGTAACCCATTAATCTAAACATGAATTCATCATTTAATTTCGGATTGGAGATGAAAATTGGGAAAAAGTTAGAAGGAAGTTCTTAGACCTAGAATTCGACTTTTGATTGAGAATTTGACCTAAGATTTGAATAATTTTGGTATGCATGAACTCGGGAGAGTGTGAGGATTCTGAAAATATAAATTTTACCATATTCCGAGACATGGGCCCGAGGGGCGTTTTGGTTATTTTACCTAATTTCGCGTATTAGCTTAGAATTTCTTTGTAGAATCAGTTACTTGAAGTATTATTTACATTATGCAATTGAATTGAATAGATTTGGGATATTTGGAATAGAGTACTCGTGGCAAGAGCAAGGTTTCGGGTTGATTTGAGCCGGATCGAGGTAAGTGGCTTGTCTAACCTTGTGTGGGGGACCTTACCCTTAGGATTGGTAT